GGCTTTCCTTATAATTTGGTAGAAACATGACCCAAATGCAGAAACACTCATTCATGAGCATTAAACAAATGAGAGTTGTTTATTTTTTGATGCTGAGGAGTCAAATGGATAAACTTCATCAGACTTCTCAGAAAATATCTGATGTTTGAAACTTATCCCTGAGCTCTGTGACAAAGGAACAAGTTTGTAATTTTAATGAAGGAATACTAACTTTTTTCAATTCAATAAATTCTGTTCAGTATTTAGATCCTTAAACAAGTACTTATAATTGGGCATCAAAAAGTTCTTTAATCAATACAGACATTAAGTACTTCATTCCTTTTTTTCTTCCTTTCTGTTACCATACTGAGGAGCACATACTGGATGCAAGCAGTGTTTTGCTTTTTAAAAATACGCTTATAAATATCACAACAACTCAAGGAGTTTCAGAAATATACTTTGGATAAGAAAATTCACGTTCGGAGATATTAATTAGACTGCCCAATATCACAATGCTAGCAAATGGAAAAATATATACAGTTCTTAATACAAATGCAACACTTTTCTATTACGTCATGTTATATCATTTTAAACATATATTCTTTCAATCAATAGTGTTCATTGAGTGCCAACAATCTGTGATGCTCTACTCTTGATACCAAAAAAAAGAAAGAAATACAATGAAGTGTCTTTTCTTATGATTCTCATCATTTAGTGGAGAGAATATTTACGTAAACACGTATTTTGGGCAGCATGGAAATTTCGCTTTAACTTTAGTATTCCTTTTTGGGAATTCCTTATGAGTTGAGAAAATAAATTAAGAGCAAAATGCCACTACAAAATTTCATGAAAGGGAAAGACTCCAAAATATCTATTAATATCTATGATAAATCCCCTTACATTTTTATAATAAAAAATAATAAGCATATAATTTTTGAAGCTAGAGAAAAAAATGATGTACTAAAAATCATATTTGTTTTTCATTTATCAGATTTCAAAACAGAATTTTCACAAGTGATTTAGGAATAGACTTTCTGATGAGTTTAAGGCTATAGAGTCAAGAATTTTGAATACAGTCTTATTAAAATGACTGCAATAGAATGTCAGATATTTTCTGTGGATGAATAAAAAAGAATTTTTATTTTAACCCAAGTTATACATTCTAAATAACAAAACTTAATCATAAGGCATCTTGCTCAAAAAATATTCTTGATTTATATTATGCCATGCATTCCAACAAAAAAATTAGAAGGTTATTAAATCAGTTTTTCTTAATTATATTTAGACATGAAGATGGAAATATGATTTTTAAAGTTTTAGTCAAAAGTTTAGACATAAAGATACAAGCATGATTTTTAGTTTTACTGTGCTAAAAAATATTACTGAATCAGTATTTATCTTAGCTTTATAATCACACATTTAGATGTAAAGATATAATCATATATATTTCAAGTTTTACTATGATTAGTTAATGAAGAATTTAATTACTCTTCTGCTTTACTTGAGAAATTTCTAGGTCTCAAAGTGAGTGGATATGATTGATGAACTATTTATGAAATGGGAAATCATTGAAGCAAATGTCATATAATTGCAACTGACAATGAAACAAATGTGGCAAGGACTAGGAGTGACATGTAAATAAGGAGATAATGATTTTTTTAACCTTTCTGTTTTATGTTAGAAAAGTAATTATAACACAGAATATGTAACAGAATTACTGCCCTTATGCAGGAAAACAGTGAGCTAATGTTATCAATTACTTACTCCAGAAGAAAAATGTACATGACTAAAAAGAGATGATGGAACTGCTTTGTCTGATATCAGATGTTAAAACAAGATAGAATAGAAACCATTACATTTTTTAGGAGATTGAATTAAAGAAAGATTTACTACTGTACTCTGCCAATAACAACACTAAATTTCAAATAAGTTTGCTTGTAGAGAACATAGTTTATTTGCTAGAACCAGCTAAAGAAATAACCAAAATGATGTCATTTGATACTGAAATATTACTTACATTGTGTCTGCTATAAGGAGTCTCCCAATGTTTTACTTCACAGAAATTGCTGAAATTCGTGTGCATGGAATGGAAGCTGAGATGAAGGTGGGAATTTGGAGATCTGTTATATTAAACTTCTCCATTGCTGTATTTCTAGAGCCAATATTAAGATAAATTTTTTAAAAAATTTGAATATGTGATTGTAATACTGAGCACAAAGGTAATACACATGCTGTACACATAGCATTGAACTAGGAGAAGCAGTTTGTTTACAGTTTTGTGCTACTGCCTAAAATATGACTCTTATGGCTAAGTTCTATTGCCTTTTCACTATGTTCAGACAAGAGACTAGAACTAGTGAAGTCTTTCGTCGCAGGAGTCACAGTGAATATTTACATTTGTAGGATTGAATAGGTTAGCTACAAATTGTGATAACTCCCTAAGAAACATACCAAGAGAATAGCTTTATTTTCCTCAATGAACACTTTTACTAATTATTACAAAGGTTTTTTTAGTTATTGAAGAATTTTTTATACCTGCAATGGGAGAGATGTACCACTGGTGTGTTGGAGAGATACAGGGGTTTTGGGGAGGCAGGAAAAATAATCTGAAAAGATTGTCTGGAGAGGACACTGAGAAGTCAAATGTGATGAAACTGCAGAAAAGCTTGAGGAAAATTATCAATATATTATGATATTAAAAGAAAGTTTGATCTGAGCCAGGTAACTATAAAAAAAGAGCTAAATAAAATATTCCTGATAAAATACTATTATAGTCTTCTAAAAATGTGCACAATGTTCTTTAAGCAGTGCAAACAACTGCAATTTGAGGGATTGGTTTGATGAAATTATAGGAATTAAAAAACCAGTAAATCTTTACCTCGATGATGAAAAATCTTTAAATTTAGTGACAACGCTACCATCAATGTAGCCCACATTGACAGAATTACCTGAAAACATTTACACACCCACACACCAAATACAGTTGGAAATGAGTGAAGGAATTATGTTTCCTAACTGAAATTTTAAACTACTAGCACTTTTATTAGTGAAACTGTAACCATAATTACCTTTTTGGGAAATGTTTCAGGTTTTTCCTCAGATCCCATAAGTTCATTCTATAATGGTATTAGTTGGCTCCCCCCAAATATTGATTTTAACATTCAACTATTTGGCACTCAACTAAAAAATGTATTGAGGCCATATCTATAATTATAATGTGGTGCAATAATTTTAGTAATAGAGACATTTAACACAATGTTATCAGGTAGGAGATATAGTAGGTACTGGAGTCTGGAGGTACAGCATCATGAAAACTTCTAGACAAGTAATGTTGGTAACAGTTTGCCAAATAGAAAGTCATTTTTATGATAGTTTTTAAAGAAACAAAAACAACCAAACAAACAGATAATGATAACCAATCTGACAGAATGCTAAAATAGTTATTATAATTTTAAGTACAACTATAATACAATTACATTCTTTTTGAGCAGGTATCAATTGTGTTCTATGTTGTCTGTACAACCAAATATATATTATAAAAATTTACATATTTACTGTAAAATATGTAACATATTGTATCTGAATATTTACATGAATGTTTGATCTTACCATTAAAGAAAATAAGACAGTTCTATTTGTGCCAATTATGAATAACCAAAGATTATACATTTATTTGCACATTCCAGAAAATACTATTTTTTTCCATTTTCTCATTCTTTCTGAACTCAAAAATAAGTTTGTTTTTCTTATGATCCTTGGAATTGACAAGAATTGTCTACAAATTAAAATTAAATGGTACTACTATATTTTCTCTTCATTAATTAAAGAAGTTTCCATTTTCTTTCTTCTACAGAAAGCAGAGCAGAGAGGAGCAGCCATCCTCCTCCTACATCTTGTCCCAGGGAGGCAGAGTGAGCCTCTGCTCTTTGTCAGGCCAAGGTTCTCTTCCAGCACTGACTGTGAAACAATGTAGACATCAGTTATGTGATTTGCCACTTGAAGGAACTTTACAAGCTCAGTAGGAGAAACAATTTGCATGGCTCTAACCTAGTTCTTGCAGCGTGAGGAGTTACATTAACATTTTGTATATAAACCAATGTGTTTTTCCTCTTGACCTCAGCTTTTGAATACATTATAATTATCTTCCAAACCCTTCCAGACTTTATCCGAAGTGGAGTCAGCTGGTCTACCTCTAACTCCTCTTTACTAATTTGCATATGAATTTTCTACAGTAAGAGAAAGACACCATAATTAGGGCTTCTGGGAGTAAGTGTTCTATCCAGTATTTTGCCATACTCCAACTGTATTCTTGATTTGCCTCACTTCTGTGGTCATTAGAATATAATTATTCTATGGTTTTCCCCCTTTTTAGTTTGGCTACTTGTAGTTAAGCTCTTGTGACCTCTGCGTTTCTAGAATGCATCCACTCCACGCATTATATTTCTACTAACCAAACACTGTTGGCATGCCCTCCTCCTCAACAATACATTTCTATGTTACCCTTGCTACCTTTCCTACACTAAGTTGTAAATAGATTTGTAGAATTTTCCTGCATATCAGTAAGATGATATGTTACCCTTGTAACAAGACAAGCTTCATTAAAACCTTCTCTTTATCTATTATGCTTGTTCTTAAGAAGCAACAACATTATTTTTGAGGTAAATTAAGATAGAGTTAATAAATAGTTGTAATAAATAACTTATCTAACACTTCCCAATACTGTGTATTTTCTTTTCTCTTTTCTAAAACTCCTCTTCCACACATATAATCTGCTATATTTTGCGAACTTTTTTTCAAGTATGTTAAGATCACTAAACATGAAGTAAACATGAAGTGTTGTTATTGATACTATATTTAGCTCACAAAGAGTTCATTGTTTAGTACTCATTAATAAAAAGATGATGGTGCATTAGTTCAAATGCAAAAGTTTTACCCTAAAAAATGTATGGTACTTACAGGTGTGAGGTGATATTGTGGTTTTATTTATTTATTTATTTATTTATTTGAACTCTGAACTTTTTATTGGCATCCTGCCTTGCCAAGGGATGCCCCACTTTTGCTGCCTTTAATGCCTCAAAACTTTGGTGTTGTTGACCTCAGACACCACTTTGACGTCCACAATCTTGTGGGTCGTGGTCTTTTGGATGGTTTCTAAGGAGTGGCTCTTGTCCAGGGCATCAAAAAGACTGAAGTCCTCTCCTTTTTCCAGTAGGTGGCGGTAGGTGGCAATCTTAGCCTCCAGCTTGACATTGATGTTCAGCAGGGCCTCATACTCCTGGGCCTGGTGCTGCCCTTCTGCCCGGATCTGGGTCAGCTCTGCCTCCAGGTGCAGCAGGGTCCCATTGAGTTGTGCCATCTGCATAGCACAGCGTATCTCCACCTCCCTCAGGCTGTTCTCCAAACTGACCTTTAGATTTCTCATTGAGTCCAGGTCAGTCTCCAAGGACTGGACCGTATGTCTCAGCTCGGTGAGTGTCGTCTCAGCAGCACCTATCTCAGCAGTCTGTGTGGTGACCACTGTGGTGCTCTCTTCAGTCCGATGGGACCAGGACTTGTCTAGCTCCTCTCGGTTCTTCCGAGCCACGTCTTTATGCTGGGCCCAGAGTTCCACCATGATTTTGCCCAGGTCCTGAGATTTGGGATATTGTGGTTTTAAACTGCATTTCTCTGATGGCTAGTGATGCTGAGCATCCTTTTGTATGTCTCTGGGCCCTGTGTATGTCCTCCTTGGAAAAGTGTCTGTTCAGGTCCTTTGCCCACTTTTTAATTGGTTTGTTTATCTCCCTGGTGTTGAGTCGTATGAGTTCTTTATATGTTTTGGAGATCAAATCCTTGTCTGATATATCATTGGGGAATTCCTATTAAAATACCAATGGCATATTTCACAGATCTAGAACAAATATTTAAAAAAATTATATGGAACCATAAACAACCTCGAATAGCCTCAGCAACCTTGAAAAAGAAGAACAAAGTAAGAGGGATCATAATACCTGATATCAAACTATAATATAAGGCCACTGTAATCAAAACATCCTAGTACTTGCATAAGAACAGATACATAGATCGATGGAACTGAATAGAGAAATAAACCCAGAAATAAACCCAAGTCTCTATGGTCAATTAATATTTTACAAAGGGGACATGAGCATACAATGGAGTAAAGACAGCCTCTTGAATAAATGGTGTTGGGAGAAGTGGACTGGTACTCATTAATAAACTGACAAACAATAAGTGCTGTTGAGGAAGTGGAGAAAAGGAAATCCTAGTGCACTCCTGGTGGATGTGAATGCAGACTGGTGCAGCGACTGTGGAAAGTCGTTTGGAATTTCCTTAAAAAACTAAAAATGGAACTGCTTTTTGACCCCGTGATTCTGCTGCTGGGAATATGCCCTAAGAACCCTGAATCATCAGTTCAGAAGAATCCCTGAACCCCTATGTTCATAGGGGCACTATTTACAATGGCCGAGTGCTGTGGACAGCCTAAGTGCCCAACAGTAAATGAGTGGATCAAAAAATTGTGGTACATTTACACAATGGGATATGACACAGCAGAAAGAAAACAGGAACTCTTACCTTTTGCAATGGCACAGATGGAAATGGAGAGTATTATGCTAAGAAAAATAAGCCAGACGGTGAAAGACACATACCATATAATGCCAGCTATAAGAGTAATCTAATGAACAAAATAAGCTAATGAATAAAGTAGAACCACAGTCATGGAAACCTGAAATAGACTGAAAGGGACCATAAGGGATGGGGAGGGGGACAATGGTGGAAAGAAGGGGAAGGGACTAGACAAAGAACGTGTATGAATGACCCGGGGACCTGGTCGAGAGCGTGAGAATTGGCTGTGGGTACGGGGACAGGGGTTGGGGTGGGTGGAGGAGGGCAAAGGGGGAAGAACTGAGACAACTGTAGCAGAGTAACAATAAAAATGATTTAATAAGAAAAAGAAAGTAGTCACTATGTTAATTTGGTTTTTAAGTAAATATGAGATTATTTTGAGTGTAAATTTCTGAAGAATAAATTTTCATGGCAATGAAAAAAAGCATGATACTTAATTTTACAAAGGTACCCTATTTCGAAAGGCCTCTACAGCATGAATGCTTTTCTCTAAATCACTGTGCCATTATTTCCAGACAGTCTAACCTGAAGTAATTAGTTTTGCATCTTTTTGTGAAATCCATTGAGAGCAGGTCAATGGATAATGAATGTGAATCAGGAAATCCTCAGCACATTCATTTTTAAACAATTCTTCACAATGACTGGCTGTTTCTGGCATGGTCCCCACTGGCCAAGGGCAGCACCAGCGTCCAGGATGCCTCCCCGGGCTCCGCAGTGCTAGATAATGTGAATCAGGTTTCGGCATGTTATTTCAATATTTCGCCTTTTCTCTAGTTAGGCATGAAATATAATGCAATTCCAATCATTACAGTCAAGTAACTAGTTAGTAACATATTTTGTGGTTACCTAATGGGAAATTTATTTTAAATAAATAAATATGAGTAAATAATATAAGTAATAAATATTAATTAACTTTATGATTCTAGAAAGTCATAAGAAACATGTCTTGTTTAATATACATTTAATGTTTTGTAGAACTGTGTGCTAGCAGGGCAATTTTTTCTCTCAAAATAACATTTCTCACCCTGTTTTTAGCCTCCATCCTAGCTCAGAGGTGTGGTGGGATTAAGCATTTCATTATCTAGGTAAAAGGTTAGCAGGGAAGGGTCTATTAGTCCACCACTTGAGGTTGGACCAGGGTTGGGCAACTTGATGTTTATGCCAGTTACTAGTTTTAAGAGAACATTGGTGGGTCAGCATGCTTATATTTGCCTTTAGATGTAATTTCTTTGCCTAGTAATCTATTTTCCTCAATAGATAAATCTAAGGACAGGATCATGGACAAAGAATGGGAATAGCATTTATGGTCCCAGATTCTCAGTGAAGGAAGATTAGTCAGCCAATCGAACAGGGAAGCCTATTCCTACAAAGTATGAACAACTCTAGTGTGTATATAAGAATCAGGTGGAGTATTTGATTCAGTGTACTGTTCCTCCTACTCCTTCTAGATATTATTATTTAGTATATATAGTTTGAATCCTGGGGAACTGCATTTTAAAAAATATTCTTTTGGCCCTGGCTGGTGTAGCTCAGTAGATTGAGCACTGGCCTGTGAAGCAAAAGGTTGCTGGTTTGATTCCTAGTTAGGGCACATGCCTGGGTTGTGGGATCGGTCCCTGGCAGCCAGTTGATATATCTCTCACATATCAATGTTTCTCTCTCTCCTTTCCCATTTCTCTAAAAATAATAAATAAAATATCTTCATAAATATACTTTTAATTTTAGAACAGTTTTCGATTTATGGAAAAATTGTGAAGATAATACATAGAGTCCCTGTATATCCCACACCCATGGAGCTCTATGTGTGTCAGAACTCTCACATTGAGAAGCATTAGGTTACACTATGGAGGAAGCAGAGTGGGGAGTGTTTGGATTTCAGCCACAACCTGAGTTTTGGAAAAAAAGTCTATAGAGACTCCTGGTCAAGATGGTGGCATAAGTAAGCATAGCTCGCCTCCTCACACAACCACATCAAAATTTAAACTAAACTATAGAACAACTATTACTAAGAACTGTCAATAATCAAATTAAACAGAAGGCTGAGTACTACAGAATTAAAGAAACCATATCCTTCCAGACTGGCAGGAGGGGTGGAGACATGGAATGGGCTGGTCCCACATCTACATGAGGTGGAAACAATTTGAGAGGGATATCTCGGGGATGAGGATTCCCAGCCCACACCAGGCCCCTCAGCCCAGGGTTCCAGTGCCAGGAAGATATATCCCCATAACTTCTGGCTGCAAAAACCAGCAGTGATTGAGACGGTGGAAGATACTGATGGAGTTCCAAGCACTTCGTCTTAAAGAACCCACACGCTAACTTATTCAGACCACTCCTTTTGAGCTCCAGCACCAGGGTACCAGTGGCATACAGGGAGGAACTGAAATGTTTGGCATAAAGACAAGAGTGGGGGGACAGCTTTATCTCTGGTGAAAAGGCGGGCAGAGGTCATTGTCCCTTTTCTGAGTCCTCCCCCCAACAGAACCACAGAGCAAGCAGGCAGGTGCCATATCTGAGATTTTATCAACTTAGCTAAAACTGTTTGTCTTGCCCTGGAGATGCTCTGAGACTCCAGCCCACCCAACTTACAGGCCCAACCAAGCTGTTAACAGTGACATTTCCATATGAATGACTGGTCTTGCAGTTCACAACTTCCTAAATCTTCTCAAACAATCAGCAACTGGCCCCCCAGCCCCAATACCTCTTACTAGTGGCCACAGGTCTGGTACTAGCAGTAGCCAGCCTAGGTTCACAACTGGACTTTGCCTGGGAATCTCCAAGCCCAGTACAAGTAGCAGCCATCTCAGAGTGCTTTATAGCTCAGGTAGGGTAGCTCCAAGGAAAACACAGGTGGAGATGACCTTGGCCTGCAACCCAGGAAACTCTGGAGCCTGCGCACCCAGTGGAAAGTTGTAGACTATGATTTGGAACATGAGGAAGCAAAAAACAACCAATCAGAACAACAATAAGAAAAAAGAATCCAAAAAAAAAGAGGATGTGTAAGCAGCCTCTGGGACAACTTTAAGCAAAATAACATCTGCATCATAGGGGTGCCAGAAGGTGAAGGGAAAGAGCAAGAAATAGGAAATTGATTTGAATAAAAAGTGAAAGAAAATTTCCCTAATTTGGTGAAGGAAATAGACATGCAAGTCTAGGAAGCACAGAGAGTCTCAAACAAGACGGATGCAAAGAGGCCCACTCCAAGACACATCATAATTAAAATGCCAAAGGTTAAAGAAAAAGAGAGAACCTTAAAAGTAGCAAGAAAAAAAACAGTTATTTATCTACAGGGGAGTTCCCATAAGACTGTCAGCTGATTTCTCAAAAGAATCTTTGCAGGCTAGAAGGGACTGGCAAGAAATATTCGAAGTCATGAAATGCGGGGACCTACACCCAAGATTGCTTTACCGAGCAAAAATATCATTTAGAACTGAAGGGCAGATAAAGAGTTTTCCAGATAAGAGAAAACTAAAGGAATTCATCATCACCAAACTATTATTATATGAAATGTCAAAGGGATTTATTTAAGAAGGAGAAAAACAAAACTATGAACAATAAATGCCAATAAATACATATCTATCAACATTGAATCTAAAAATCAAACTAGACAAATAAGAACAGAGACAGAATCATAGATATGGAGAGCATTTTGATGGTTGCCAGAGGAGAGGGAGATGTGAGGGAATGGGTGAAGAGGTGAGGGGATTAAGAAATACAAATAGTAGTTACAGAATAGCCATGGGGATGTAAACTACAGTATTGGAAATGGAGTAGCCAAAGAACTTAAATGCAAGACCCATGAACATAAGCAAAGTGTGGGGATTGCCTGAGGGAGAGGGGGGATGCAGGGTTGATGGGGCAAAGGGGGAAAAATTGAGACAACTTTAATAGCATAATCAATAAAATATAATTTTAAAAAAGTCCCTGGGAATAGCAGGCTGTAGTGGAGGTAATTATAAAGAAGTAGATGGTCATTGCCAGAGAAATACCAGGACTGGAAGTTTGACTAAATTGCAGGCTTAATGATTGTGAGACTGAGGCTTCTGATAT